AGAACGGCCCTGGTCCTATCGAACTGCCTGCCGCAGCTTCTTTCGCCAAAAGATCGGCGAGCTCATTTCGATAGATACCTCTGATCCGGATCCATGGTAGTAAGCTATTTATTTTCCATGGATTTACTATTCCCTAGATTTCGTGTAAACTAATTTCCGAAACACTCATTCCTCATTTTTAGGCAGTCAAGAACATGTACTAAGCAATTTAGTCTTAACCAACAGGTAGAAGAAAAACTCAAGTCAGCGCTATATGTAGATGATCCATCCCAAACCAGGTTCATATATAGTATTTTTTTTCTGTCCTTTGCAGTCACCGCTAAATTTCGTCAATATATGAGCAACTCGACCTAGACTTTTCGATGATCAAATCTTCATGCACTATGGACCGTTGAACTAATGTTCAAAATTGCCTCTATCCAATGATTATTAACTTTTTTTTTAATATTACTTGATAATATTCGTTGGCGCTGTTCGAAGAAGGGAGTAATATACTATACCCTTTACTTTATCTGGATTTTGATCTCCCAATTTGTATGGCAGCTATCTATTATAGTGGTCCGAAATCGGTCGACTTGTGTAGCAAAATTGCAGATATCTCTAAAACCAGGGGACAATTTCTGGTTTATACAGACGGACAGACGGACATGGCTGAAACGACTTAGTTATTTTTATGTGGGAATACTACTGTAGGCAAAAAATAGTGAGACTTTTTAATTTAAATAATATATTGGTTTGTATGACTGTCGGTGACATCTGTGCCAAATGCCACATCAAAATAAATATTAGTGTTTAGTATACGCTTGTCTTTCTGAAGTTCATGAAGTGCATTCAGCGAGTTTTATGGTATTCAACAGGGAAGTTACATTCAATTTCGTGTGCGGAATCAAATTTTTTTTTGCCGAAACGCTCAGATTGTTGAAAAAGGGCTTTGGTGATAATTCGCGCACTCGAGGAGTGAGCTTGATTTTCCTAGAGGTACATTTCCACACATCGAAAAATTGCTTGTGTATGGGCTCGTATCTATTTATTTTTACCTTAAACGGCCTTTGGCTCTTTGGCTTATAAATATTGAACGGCGCAATGCATTGTGAAAATATCTTCTATTGGCTTTTCTGGAGCATGTAAATGCACAACAACACACACATACACAGAACAGTGATGCATGTATCGGTACTACATATGCTTGTGAAATGGACCTGGTACGCAGGCCTTCTTGTACTTTCGACTATTTGGTGTGGTGTGGTGCGGCCTTAATGTAGAAGCGATTATTCGCACAGCTGCGCGGTGGTAGATCAGGAGCCGGTCATAAAATGCCTTTCATATGCGCCAATACTCACTTGTAAGCTTCAACTTGCAAATATCCAAAGCCAAGCGCACATACACACACACACATGCTGCACCCGACACTTTCTCATATGCCGCCGCACCGCTTTGGCTAGGCCACAGAGTCAGCAGCCACGGCGCGCCAATATTTTGCGCAAACGCTTCAGCTACAGCTACAACGTCAACTTCGGCTTTGGTTTCCACCAATTTGGCCTTAGACGCATTTACTACGACGTCATAGCTTGGCGAATGAAGATGATTTATAGAATCATTTTATTATTTATTGCTCATTCAAATCGCTGTCAAATGAGTTGGTAATTAATTAGGGTGATTTAACAAAAGCTCCAAAGCAGCTTAAGGACTTAGTGGTACGGGCGATAGAAGAGCCAAGCGTGAGTGTGTGAGAGAGAGAGAGAGTTCTTTCGTACTAAGTATGTGTACTTAGCGACTGTGTTGTTGCAATTGAAGCGACGATTTTCCGAGTTGTTCATCATTCGGCGTTGTTGTTGTTAGGTTGTTGAGCTACTCTATCGATTATGGCTTTATTATTAGACACTCTAGTTACTACCAGGTGTCATAGTTATACACATACATACATATGTATTATATTATATGTATGTGTGTTTTGCATGCATGGTTGCATTTCTTTCCATTCCATGATTTATTTTTGGAGAAGAGGAAGTTGAAGTAGGCGAAAATAAATTCAGTAATAATACTTATACTTATTTGTTGCATACAAATATGAAAGGAGAGCACTGAGTTCATTGAGGCATTGATTATTGAGTATATTTATGTGATAAGGTCAAGCTGAGGCTCTCATATAAGTACTAATTTTGATCATTTGTTTGGATGTAAGGAAAATAGAATAAATTTCTCTCTCCTTAAGACTTTCTTAAATAAGTGTTTCTTGAATGTAGGGAGAGTTTTTTATAGTAAGATTTTGATTCAAAATATATTATATATTCGGAATCATCTTCCAGTAGGTTCTACATAAAAGTAACTCAAAATATCTGAAATACACAGAAACGGGATAGTGAACTACATAAGGCCTACTAGTATGCACGTTCTTCGTTTTTTTTTTAATTTTTCATAGAATATCGGTTCAAGAAATTCTTAAGTTATGACCGAAAAAATGTCTATAGAATACATCCAGATTCTAGACTGGTCAACCCTTTCATTCCTACCAATTCCACCATTGAAATAACTTCAATAAAAGCTGCTTTTTTAAATAAAACAAAAATGCTTTTGAATATCAATGAAATTATTCTGCAATTTCACATTCGATATTCGTAGGAAGTTCATTAATCGACGCTGGCTTGTTGGCATAGGCCATAGACTTGACGTAGCTCCACACGAAATAGTCTAATGCGGGAGATCTCACAACCAAGGCGGATAATAAACTAGACCATTTCGTGAGATAATACGTTGACCAAACTTGGTTTTCAAGAAACCGATTGTGACATTCGGTGTGTGGCTTGTGGTGTAACCACAATTGTCCAAGTCCATATCATTCAATTCGGGCCAAAAATATTCGGTTATCATTGAGCGGTAGCGATTCTCATTCACAGTAACGTGGTGGTTTCGATCATCACGGAAGAAGAACCTCCCAATGGCGCCGCCGGCTCATAATCCGCATCAAACTGTAATTCGGACACGACGATTTTGGTGGTCAAGCGGCTTTAGTTCTTTCATCAATTTGATCTTGTAAGAATATGGGCCAAGATTTTTTTGCAAAATTCGTCACAGAGCTGCGACGTGTCTGAGACTGATTTGGCTCTTCATCAATTGATGTGCTAGCGGCAGCAATATTCTCGACTTTACGAGCACTTCTTTGTCTCACTGGCACGGCAACATTTTGTAATGTACCTGTAGATTCAAATGTTTCCATTAAACGCTCATTGTTGATCTAACAAGACGTTTATGGCGACCATAAACGGGACGTAGCGCTTCTTAAAGTTGAGGCCACTGACTCGAAATTTCGGTAGTAAATTTTAATAATTTCGAATCTTGCGTAGGAATGGAAGTGCTACTCAGCCAAAATGTGTTCCAGCGATTAAACCAAATAGTTATCTCAAAGGGTCAAGTCTAGAGTATACGGCGGGTAACAGCTCCCAACCAAGTACTGTATCCTGAACCGATTTTGTTCTGTGTCCAGTTGCGCTGTCGTGTAACAAAATTACTTTGAAGTGTCTTCTGGTCAACGACATTGGTCGTTATTCGATGGTACATGGTTCAAATTGACAGTTTAATGTCTGTAGCGATTAGTATTTACAGTTTCACCAGGTTCAGAAGCTCCTGATATACCACACCTTTCTGATCCACCGAACAGAGGGCATTGCCTTCTTACCGGATCGAATTGTTTCTGTAGTCGATATTGTCACGGATTAGTCTATGATTTTCTCCGTTAATATTCTTAAAATAAATCCATTTTTGATCGCCAGTGACAATTCGATGCAAAACTGATTTTCTCTCGTGTCTGCAAAGCAGAATTTCACAAGTGTTTTTTCGGGTTCCTATTTGTCTTTCGTTCAATTCATGTGACATCTAATTTACATACTTTTTCCCTTAGTTTTCAAACTTTCTAAAATTGTTTATTGTGCAACATTTAATATGAATGTCATTTGGTTTTGAGTCAAAGTGTCATCAACATCCAATATTGCTTGTAGTTTAGCGTCTTTAAACTTTTTTGGTGGTCTTCCCCGTTCTTCATTTCTCATATTAAAATCATTATCTCTGAACTGTTGAAACCATCTTGTGATAGTGCGTGATCACCATATGTCTTGGCAAGTATTTGATGCGACTCGGCAACACTTTTCTTCAAACGGCAACAGAAAATTAATGCTTTTCGCAAATTATCAGTTTTCGGTACAAAATGTCTATTTTTTTTCAACACAATGAAATTGTATTGGTTATTGAAAATGTTTGACAATTAACATACCAACCAAACAGAAAAAAAATTAAGGCTCGTTCACAACAAATGTTCCCTAACACCACATTTGTTTCTCAACTCATTTCATGCCAGTACACGGGCGGGTAAACATCACGCAAGAGTTGATGAGTATTGCCTAGAGAAGATGCTTTTCTTTTGATGTGCAGAATATTTTTTCTCAACTGCTCAAACGAAAAAGAAAAAGCTTCGGTAGATCGGGTTTGAATCAAAAAAATCAATTGTCTTTCAGTTGTTCCCTATAGCAGAAAACTGTCAAACAACCAAATCGATAAAAATTAATTTCACGGCAAAATAAATAATTTAAGGCAACTATGGGCACTAGTAGAACTAGCATACATTTAATATTGCATGAACATTTGACTGTAAAATAATTTTGTTCACGTTGGATCCCATACAACCGATCGCTCAATAAAAGGCTCGTAACAATTAGTCGTCGTGGATTTACACGTATGCCCCCAAAAGTAAAGATCAGCGGACTGCATGGACGTTTCAAGATGAGCCGAATCCAACAAAAGCTGTTCGCGTACGAAACACTTTCAAGCAAATAGTTGTATTTTTTTGAAGCAACTGGATCCAGCTCTCACACATTGACTGAAACAACTACATTTTTGAATACTCAAAACACCGATTTGACGAGCCATGCACCGTATAGTCCTGACTTGGTACCCAATGACTTCTTTTTATTCAGGCAATAATAACTTTGAAAATTTAATCTCCATATATATATTTAAATGAATCACCTTATTTAAGGGGGTACATTAACTGTTTTTCATTTACATTTTCAATTTTTCGCCTAAGCGACACTAAAGGAAAGATTCAAATGTAATACTGGCATAGCACCGTTGTGTGTTCTAACGAACATTTTATATCCGGCTTCAGGAAGAAAACCTTCCGCTATGAAAAGCCATAATGGCATACGCGTTACATTCATGTTACCCTGGTAAATTGAAATGAGTTAATAGTAAACAAAAAAAAAAAAAGTAAAAACTTAGTTCTGGCATACGAACCCGTAGTGGACACTTTATGCTGCTTAATCTGCGCAAGCTCATTGCCATGATATTATTAATAGCGACATTGCCACCATTAACCATTTCCCACTTACAAACATCTACGGATGTTCGCATATTCAGGTTTTCGTAATTACCCAATTTGTTGCGGCGCAATAACTCAATATCTATCTGTGAAAGAATGAAGTATAAGTACCGATTTATAACATATATATATGCCCTTCCATACCATTAAAGCTTTCACTGGCTTTATGAAGTTACAGACTGCAGTTAGGTATTTAAATTTTCCACGTCCCTGCTGCAGCAGGCAATTGGAGGGATCGCAAACTTCTCTATTAAAATCACATTCCAGATTGGTGGGTATAACTGTCGGGTGCTTAAAAAACGTAAAACTTTATGTATATAAAAATATTTAAAACTAAAGTGCAAATGTACCAACCACATATCCGAAAAGCGCCAAATTTATAAATAAAATCTGTTGTATCAGCAACGTGTCCATTTTGAAGTGATCGTGTATTATGCTTTGTGGAACGAAAAATTTGTCAATAAACGCAGTCAGTCGCACACGCACAATATAATATAATTATCTCTGATTGATTTAGTGTAATTGAGCTAAATTTTTGAATTATTAAATAAATGCATTGTTTTGAAAATGAACGCGATTGGTTTGGATTCCAACTTCTGATATGGAAATGATATGGAAAATTGGTAAAAACTAGAACTTTTTTTATTTATATTATTTTCAATTCAATACACTTATTCAATATCAGTAATCAAGAAAAACATGGAATATTATTAACGTTAAATATGGTATGTATTTACTACTACAAGCAAAAAATAGCAAGACTTTGTTCATAATTTTAAAAATCTTAATTTTTTCTTCAAAATGTTATCCCCCTTGACCGCATTACATTTGTGCCAACGTTTTTTCAATACTCGAAACAGTTGTTCAAGTAAATATCCCGAATAGCCTTCAAAGCGTGTAGCGATTCACGTTTCTTCAGTTGACTTAAAATGGTTTCCCTGGAGCGGTTGTTTTAAGTTTGCTGAGGAGACAGAAGTTACACAGAGCTAAATTAGGCGAATAAGTGGTTGCGACAGGATATCAGTTGAAAATTTGAGGAAAAACTCACCAAAAGTCAGTATGCACCGATGCATAATCGAAGAAAACTGTCAACATACATACGCTTTTTTCATTAGCTACGTTATAACAGTAGACCGATTGGGACAGCAAACCACGCCATATTTTTTCCCGCTATTCGACATATCTGTTCAGTAAAGTTTGCCATTTCATCATGGAAAGATATGTGAATCAACAGCGAGTCGAAATTATGTTTGCGATATCAATGATTTCTGTGTAGCTATGTCAAGTCTATGGTCTATGCCAACAAGTCAGCGACGATTGTTGAACTTCGTTCGAATATCGAGCATGAAATAGCAGCAGTATCGGCCGATTTATGCTTGAAAGCCGTCGAAAATTGGGTTCAACGTCTGGACTTCTGCAAGCGTGCCTGTGGTGGCTATGCAAAAGAATCGAGTTCCGTACATAATAGCATAAAATTTACATTCACACGAAAGAAGAATTTCACTAATATCCTGAAACGTTTTTGTTTTATTTGAAAGAAATATTGTAGAGTTTATTGAAAATCCCGTAACTTGATTTTTGACCTGGCTTGACGAGGCTTTTTATCTTCGACACTCCTTTACCACGATATTCGGCCGATTGGTCGTCTGCTTCCAGGTTCCAAGCATAGATCCAAAACTTACGGGAAGTAATATTATGTTCCATGACATCCTGGTAGTCGGAAAGCACTGTTTCACAGACCTTAACACGACGCTGTTTTTCGAAAAAACTAGTAATTTTAAAACCAATCGAACCAAATGAGCTTTCAAAATGGTTTTCACTGATCCTTCCGATATTCCAACAATCCCAGTAAGATCTCTGAGATAATCAAAGTTCCGCAACCTGGTCATTGAGCTTGACATGCATAAAACTTGACGTAGGCACAAAGTGATTACTTCTATAACTTGTACCGGCACAGTCTCCACCACTTGCACTTGTGACCTTGCTCTTGTCACCGGTTCTGGCTATATCTCCCACCATTAGGTCGGCTTCACAATATGACACCGCAGTTGGTATTTCTGTTGCATTCGTTGTAGATGTCTAACCCACAGATGCGTTAAGTGAACCCACACCGTTATTCTTGCTGCTGCTGTTGTTAATCGCAGATTCTCAAACACCAATTGCTTTATTTTATTGACGTGTTGATCATCAGTTGATGTGGGTGGTCGTCCCGGACATGGTTCGTCGTCAAAGTGTTCTCGACCCTCTTTGAATAATTCGTACCAATCAAAAACATTTGCTCGCAACAAACAGTTATCACGGAAGACTTTTTCCAACATCCTCTACGTTTCGTTATACTAAACACTAATGATTATTTTGAAGTGACATTTCGGCCAGATGTAGGTATCAGGTTTTGGTAATATTAAAAAATACCATCGCCAATCTATTTGAAGTAAAATCAGTCGAAAGATCGATTCTATTGTTAGCTATATAGCGGCTAGGATATAATGAATTTTATCAAATTTATGTACAAAGATACACTATTATTACTTAGAAACGCTCTCTAATTTTCTTTGAGATATGTAAGTCACATAGGGTCGGAAGTGCGAAAATCTGTATACATTGGACAAAAAAGTGCCCAGAAAATGTTAATAAAACACAAAATATTTAATTATTCATCAATATTTAGTTTGTCCCCTTCAAAATAATATGAAGTAATATGAAGTAGATGTAATACACTTATGCCAATGATTGTTCCATTCCTCGAAACACTTTTCAATAGCACTTTTTGGGATAGCCTTCAGCGTTATGCCGTATAAACAAACAAAACTRTAAATGAAAAAAAAAAAAAAACAAATAAAATTTTTTCATGGTTCATACGACAGATAGACATTTAAAGAATAGTCATATAAATTAAGAGAACAAATAGTTTCAAGGAAAGCGCGTTTCAAGTTTTGAGTTCAGACTAAGGTGATGGAGTTGTCACAATATTAATACTTTTGAAAATACTTTCATTTTGAAGATTTCTTTCAGAGAGATCGCAAGCTTTCGAAATTTGAAAAAAATATATATTTTAAAATTCCTAGACTCTTGAATTCGAGTTAGGGATATTTTTAAGGCAATCATACTTTCGAGAACATATCGGGTTACATCGAATTTTTCAGTTAATACATATATGTTTTACATACAAAATTATGATATTCTCATAGGAAGGAATATTTATTGATAAGGGCGTTGTAGAAGCCATATGAGTGAATTCAATGATTATAAGCATAAAATCAAGATTAATAATTCTTATGAAATTTTTTCTCATAGTTTCATTATGGATAAATCTTAGCTGGGTTATACAAGGTGCGTTTCAAAGTAAAAAACAAATAGTTTTATCGGCAAAATCAATTTATTTTATTCAAAATAGTCTCCTTCTGCCTTAATACAGCTTTTTGCACAGTCCAAAAGCATATCGCACGAGTGTTTTTGCTCGTTGGCCGGTATGGCCGCCAGTATGACGGTGCAAGTCTTTTGGATGGCCTCAACGTCTGCATAACGCTTTGCTTTCATGGGCAAATGCATTTTTCCGGAAAGGAAGAAATCGCACGGTGCTATATCAGGTGAATACGGGGAGTGGTTAATGGTTAAAATGTGATTTTTGGTCAAATAATCGGTCACAAGCGCCGATCGTTGTTGAAAACCACTCGTGTGCTCTGCTACTGGATAGGCAATCATCGCCATAAACTTGTTTCATCAATCGAAAGGTTTTGGTAAAAGTTTTACTAATTTTTTTTTTCTTTGTTCGAAGCTCATTTTCGCACCGATAACACAAACATACTGACACTTAATACGCAATGACTTCACTTCGAATCAATGAAATGTCATGAAATTCTCACTGGACAATCGATAAAGACAGCAGATTCTAACGTACCAGTCGACATATACATAGATGTCGCCACAAGAGAGTGCTGGATTCAAAAAGTCCCCTCTACTTTGGATCGCACATAGATAATCGAATGGTCAATTCATCACGACTTTTAAAAATATGTTTTATATGTATACACATATGTAAATATATAAATAATAAGCGCATATCGGATGTACCTAATTATTTATGCATATTTGTGCGATTTATCGAACAGTAGCAGCAAATATTGTTCAGATATTCCAACTAACACCGCACACAAATTCTGTTATCTAATTGCAGCAAAACTACTTAATGCAACATTTAATTAAATAGTAAATGTAACAGTCGTTAAAGGCGCCAATAACAGCCTTGAGTGACGCGGCGGCGGCGGCGGCGACACACAAGTTGCGCTAAAATGGCAATAGCTACTTGCACAAGCTAATTCCCCAACAAATGTTGTTATTGTTGTTGCGCAAATAAGGTGTTACTTTGGTCACGGCTGCTGTGTCAACAGATGACGTTTGGCTTGCACTTGGCCAGTTGGCAGGCATAAATTAATGAAAATCCACTGAGGTGAGTGTGCCAATGTGTGTTGCTGGCAACATGTTGCTGATGTATGAATACACATACATGCTGCCACGATTAAGCGCTGTTTGCATTAAAATGATTTATGCCAACGAATTGACATGGACACGGCCGGCACAGAGGCGTACTAAGGCGGATCGGATACATACGGACATATAGTACGTACATACATACATATGTGTGTATGTTGCAAGTGCGCTTATTAGCAAAATTACTGAACTATATGTAAATATGCTCTTAAGCGACAAAGTATGCGAGCGTGGTATTGCCAGCGTTAACAATTGCAAGTTGGTAAGTGCATTCCATTTTAATTATTCAATTTCATTTTCATTCTCATACAAGCTATAACCAGCGCCAGCAGCCAGCAGTGAAATGCTATATTTATTACAGTTATTTTTAGTTTTATTTTGTTTTTATCTGACTTATTTATAAAGTTGCATTTCAAGCGACCGCCAGCCATTGTAGTCTTGTGTTGGTTTCATAAATACTTATCGCTGATATTCATATTATAATAATTGGCTTAGGGACAGTATGTGTGATAATTTATGGTACCAAATGTCAAGTTCAAGTGGCGTTGCCGAACGTGACATGTTTGCAACCTTACTCAGCTAACGGTGGTTTAAAGCAGCATTCCATAACAAATAATTTATTATACATATACATAAATCAAAGTGAAATAGAGTGTTTAGACAAATTGGTTAGACCATGGAAGTCTGATTGCTCTTGGATACCACAATTAGCGCTTGTAAAAATTGAGATGGCATAACGAAAGTTGTGTTATTTATTGCAAACTAAACAATTAACGATAATAGCGACTCACATCAAGTAAATGAGATGTTAATAAAGGGTGATTCATATTTAGGTTCCCTACTTTTTTGAAGATAAAACACATTTTAATGGAAAAAGCTTATTATCTGTCACAAAAAGCTATTGTAAAAAAGTACTTCTTGGATCACCCGTTACAAATTTCCTAACAGCTATGGGTCAACCGAATATTTTAAACCCAAGCAACTTGCCAAGATAAAAGCCAGGGTCAAAGATTAGTAAGTTATTTGTGGTCTAGGGCAAGTCTTCACAAGATTTTTGCTGAAATAAAGATTGTCCGGAAAGTAATAGGACTGAATCGTTTTTTAAAAATTTATTGAATCACTTCTTACAATTCTTTAAAAACTTTGAATATAGACCTTCTGCGTCGATGCAGCAGTGCCAGCGCAATTTCCAAACATTGAAGGCGTGACGGAAGGCATTCTCCGAAATGGCTTTCAGAGCCGAGCTGCAAGCTACTCCCCTCTGACGTCTCAAAATGCTTACCTTTCATCGGCCTTTCCAGACAAGGAAACAAAACAAAGACAGGGAGGCCACATCTGGGCTGTAGCTCGGCTGCTGAAGCGTTAGGATAGCTGTCGGCTGGGGTTCGGTAGCTGTTCACAAACCGTTTCGGAGCCGATTGACCCTTCGTTTGAGTCTTTTGACGACTTCTAAATAAAATTTGACGTTGACGGTTGGTGCAGGAGGAACAAATTCATGGTGGACGATGCTTTTGATGTCCAGTGTCTCCCAGCACGGTTTTCATCAGCGACCTTTTCCCGGCTCTCCCAAAGGCCTGGTGCTACCGAAACAAATCACTTCTTTGTAAAGAAACATTTGGATAAGCCTGCTTGATCATATCAAACGTCTCTGTGGCAGATTTACCGAGTTTCACACAGAATTTAATCGCGTACCTCTGCTCTAACGAAGGCTGCATTTTCGGCTTGCACCACTCACAGAAACACGTTACGCGCAAATGTTTGTCCTAACTCTCCATGTGCTTGGAGACAACTGTCCAGCCGCTTGTTCGTTAGCTAGGAACGCTCACTACTGAATCCAGTCGGTGAGAGCACTCACCCAAGTACAGTCGCGGCGGAAGAAAATCACTTTCCGGACAAAACCTGTATATGCGGTATAAACTCAACTGGAATTTCGAAAATCTTCTACTAAGAATATGAAAATTCAAACCTTTTTTTTTCATAATATATCTCACGATATTTTTGATAAAAAGTTTGCAATTGGAACTTTGATCCGCATATTAGATTGCAGGGGGCTTGAAAAGTTTTTGTCCGTTTTGGACAGTTTTAGGTATACTTTAAGCGCAGTATTCGGGAAAAGTTTTATCCCAATACTCTTTGGAATTTAAAATTAAGTTAAAGGTATCATGAGAAGTAGTCGTAGTTGTGGTCCGATTTCGATCGTTCTCCCATTGGAATATAGGAAACTCAAGGTAACATTATATTGTATACGAAATTTGGTCAAGTTGACCCTCAGTAATGGCTTTTCACCGAAATGTGGGCGGTACCATGCCTATCGTACATTTTTGACCCCGGCTCCTATGAAGTCCTCTTCTATCATCGCTGCTGCAATTTTTATGACTCTGGCGTATATATTGAGTTATCGCGCTTTTAGTAGTTTTGAACTGAAAAGTTTATTTCTTAAGTATCTGTGGCCGTGGCCGATTGAATGTGTCGCTTGGGGCGCTTAAGTAATTTGTTTTGAACGCGAATTGGGTTATTAGAGCTTGAATGGCTTAGGCGATATGTACATCAAAATTCTTACAGGGTGGGGTCATGCCTGTTTTAAGTTTTACACGGATTGAGGGACAGAAGGACAGACTTCCAACTCGTCTCATCTTCCTGATAAAGGCTGATCTATTTCTAGATTCCATACTTTTTTAAATAAAAAACACAAAAACTTCAAATTTATTGGGGAATGTTTAATATCATTCGAATGAACATTCTTTGGCATTTATTTTTTGAAGATTATCTCTTTCAAATATTGGCCGTAGCTACGTCTCAAATGGTCCATCCGTTGAATCCAATTTTCGATAACTCGGGCGAGCATTTCGATTCGTAACTGGTGAATGACACGGGTGCTGACGTGCTCCACGGTCTGAATCAAAGCAGGGTTTTCCGCATAGACATTCGATTTGAAGTATATCCACAGTAAATAGTCTAACGGTGTGATATCACACGATCTGGAGGGCCAATCGATCAATCCAAAACGTAAAATTATATGCTCACCGAAGTGTCCTTTGAATAAATCCATTGACTGATGCGATTTGTGGGAAGTGGCACCGTTTTGTTGAAACCAAAAGTCGCAGAGATCACGAACTTCAATTTCAGACATCGAATAGACTTTTATCAGACGCGATGTTTTTTTTTTCTGGATGAAATGGCAGCTCTTGAATCTCTTCAGGTTCCTCTTTGTCCCGACTTCGGCAATTTTGCTTGTTTACATACTCATTGAGCCAGAAATGGGCCTCATCGTTGAACAAAGTTTGACTCGACAATGTCGGATCTTGTAGGTACATTTCAAGAGCCCATAGAGCGAAGCGATGTCACTTGGGAGGGTCGAGCGGTTTCAGTTCTTACACATCTCTATTTTGTATGTTTGCAATTTAAAATCTAAACGCAAAATGTGCCAAGACGTTCCATACGTCAATCCGAATTACTGCGAACGGCACCAAACAGGCTCTCCACGGTCTTCGCGTACACTCTCAGCTACGGCTGCTATATTTACTTCCTGCGTGCTGGACGTGGTCTATTCGGTCGGCCAATTATGTTGATTATAAGTTGAGAGAAGCGTGAAAAACACAATCTTTACAGAGCGTGAATTTTCGTAAAAAAAATTGAACGATTTGTAAACGTTATTTAAGAGTAAGTCTTTACGTGATGAAATGCCAAACAATACTGAACAAAAATAACATGACAGCTTGACACAACTCAATCATGATCTGTGTAAAAAAGGCTGTTAAAAAAGTACCTTTTCGGATCACCCGTTATTAAAATATTATATGTATCTCAATAGTTTTTTATATAAATATGAAGTTGCAACGTCAGAAAGTTACTCTCTTCCCGAAATAACATGAGAGTATAAGTAGGTTGGTTGAAAATTAACCAACTCAATCTGGGGAGGAATGTTTCCCCTTTCATTTTAACTCTCCTTCAAACAGATGTTTTCTGCCTACCCAGAAACTTGGTACTTGGGTGTACCTGGTTTAAGCCCGGAAGTGTTGAGCTGCTGAACAAAGAACAAATTCTACACTTACCATCTCCGCCCTGCTATATGGTGCACAGGCACGGACGATGACAACATCTGATGAGTCAGCTTCACGGGTTTCGAAAGAATGGTTCTGCGGAAAATTAATGGTCCTTTGCGCATTGGCGACGGCGAATACTGTGGTCGATGGTACGATGAGCTGTACGAGGGATATACGATGACATTGAAATAGTTCATTTCGATTTAAGAGACAGCGGCTTTGCTGGCTATGTCATGTCGAATAAAAACACTCCAGCTCTGAGAGGATCCGACACAATACCCGGCGGCGGGAAGCAGAGGAGGAGAAAGACCTTCACTCCGTTGGAAAGACCAGGTGGAGGAGGCTCTCGCTACACTTGGATTCTCCAATTGGCGTGTGGTAAACTCGGCTATAACCGCGTAAGCGGTGCCTATGGTAATAAAGAAGAAGAATCAAGTCCGTGAAGGCGTCTTAACTTTTATTTAACCCCCTTTGCAAGTACAGCGTCTTGTAAAACTATTATTATTATTGTGTTTGCTCATATGCTGTCTTACTTCTAAAACGTTAGAAATTCTGTTGCACTATGCCTGAAAATGGCCAAACACATTCACATTTACTAGATATATGGTATATGGGATGTTTGACTAAATTAAAAACACTACACGACACAGGTAAACCGTAAACTCATTCCCACTAAAAGTGTGAAAGTGAACGAGGAAAGGTAATACGTTGTACAAATATGCATTGTTTTACATATGAGAGAGCTCCCACGGCAGCGACGAAACGACACCAGCGTCGCACACAAACCCCATGCTGTTGCCGGCACTGCCGCTGCTGTTTTTGTTATTACTGTGGTTGTTATTGCCATTGTTGTTGTTGCTGTCTGCTAGAATGATCGGTCGGTCAGTCAAGTAAGTTTTGGGTTTTGAAATTCTACACCAGCGTCAGAACGTGTTCACCCGCACTGCACCATAGCCGTCGCTAACAACACCACTGCGACCGTCACTGTTACCGCCGTCGCCGCCCGGCTGCGTCGCTTCGCCGCCACCACCACCACCTGCCTTTGCCACTGCAACAACTTCGATCACCAGCGCACACTTCACTGCACCGATGCGCACAGAGACAACAATAACAGCAGTAAAGCACCGGGCCGGCCAGAGCTTCAAGCTGCGGAGGAACGGCACAATGCGAGTGAGCGACCAACGAAGCGAAATTTCAGAAGGTGTGAAGTTTAAACTGG